TTGGGGGGGGGGGGGAGGGGGGGGGGGTATTTTGTGTTTTATGTTATTTTTTTGCTGATTTTGACGTGACATTCATGAGGAGGCGTTTGTCAAGAGTGAATCTAAAGGATATGAACTTGAGTCAATGCTTTTTTAACAGTCAAGTCAAAACCCTTTCTGCCATCTCTCCTACACATTTCCATTGTGTCCACTAGTTTATCAGATCCAACTGGATTCCCCTTCACCCCCACTAATCATTCCCACTTCCTGGCCCCCAGTTTCTGACCTCTACTCCTTTCTTTTCTCCTCTTCATTCATTAGCTCCTGCAAGTACTTCCATGTTCCGTTGCTCGTTTGAACCCTATAAAAATGGTTAGAAAATCCTTTTAAGGACTGGGTTAATCTCAAACATACAAGTTTTAAGTTTTTAATCCGAAACACATCTGGGAGAAGACAAGAGAACGACACAGATTTTCAGTATATTTTGTGTTTTTATTGAATAAATGATCTTAAAAGGTAATAACAATGTTTAAAACTACACCATCTTCGCATCCATTGCTTACACTCAGATAACTCATCTTTATATATTCTTTCAGCCCTCTCGTCTTATCTGCCTTTTTTAAATATTCTTTTGGAGTCATACTTTCAAAATAAATGCCCATTTCAAGTCCCATCAAACCAACAGCAATCCAGTTGTAAAACGAAGGAAGGGTCTGCTCTACAGGGATGTAATTTAAGTTGCCAGTTTATATTTTTCCATCAATGTTCTTCAGAGTACTAAAGCAGAGGGAGGAAAAACGTAGATTAAAAAAGTGATGAAGTAAATAAAACTTGGTTTGAGGAGTTACACCAGGTAACCCTCCCAGCCCATCAGGCCACTGCAACAGAAAGTCGTTTGTACAGTGACACGTCTTCAGGGTCTCAAAACTTCTGAACATAGAAAACCACTAAAATAATTTTGAAACTAGATTCAAAATATTCCTTTGAAAAAAATTTATTTTGATGTACAAAAACAGTCATTTTCTCTTTTTTGTCTTTTTTTTCCCCAAATATTTTCATAATAAAAGCTTCAAACACAAGTTTATTGTAGTACTTATTTGTTATTATCATCATTTATTCTTTTCCTTTTATTTTATTTTTTTCATTAATCTATCAGTGCGATTGTATACCAGTGCAGCTACTGGGGTCAAGAGTAAAGAAACAGGCTTTTTTCATATTTAATGGCATAAAAAATAAGGAAAATTCTTCTTTTTTTTTAAATACAAAGTATAACTGCTGGTCTTTAGGGGGGAAAAAACAAACATTTATAAACCCATAAAGCTAGGAGGCACACCATGGGATTTTCATTTTTGAAAACATAGCATTAATAATAATAATAATAATACTAACAAAACAAGTAACAATTTGCAACCACTTTGCCATCTTGATGCCACAAATGGCTTCAGAGACACAATCAATGAAAATTCATTGAAAAGCCCGGTTGCTTAAAAAGACAGTTGAGAAATCGCACAAAAGAAATAACTTTTTTTTTGTCAATAGAAGGGGTTGTTTTTTGGAAGGACAGGAAGCCAGGCCTGTAGAGCAGCATTTGGACATGGCCACTGGCATCTTTGGTTCAGTCAGACATACAAAGGTGACGAGCTCGAGCATTCCACGAAACGGCGAGAAACGACCATGGAGGGAATGCTGAGGCTGAACTCTAACCCCGGTATGGAACCAAAACACACGATCTGCTACAACTATCTGCCGCTGTCGTTCCTCACCAACCCACGAGGTATTAATGTTTGAAACTGTTCACCAGGACACAAGCAGGACTTCACTTTAACGAATCGGAGCCGCGCCGACTGGAAACTAATTGAAGAGGAAGAATGGCTTGCTTTTAAGATTTTCGTCATATTGTTAAGAAAATAGGATTAAAGTTGCGTTGACAGTACTGTGAAACTACCAAACCAGTAACGGTGAAAAGACCCCTGTTAGCTGTTTCATAGTGACTTTATGATCCAGACCAGCTTTTAAAACAGACATTCTTTCTGCACACAGGAAGCTGTACATCCTGTAACAAACGTCACAATCCCACCTGACTGGGCTGCCGCACAAGCTTTAATAAATATGTAACGTTTAGAGGTTTTAAAATGTTGAGGAAAAACATGTTTGAGACTCTTACTTTAAAGGATAAGTTCATAAAGTTCCCCTGATGTCAGGGATGTTACAATGGCAGTAAGAAACCGCACGTTGGACCCATTAAAGACTTGATTTTGTAGTTTACTTAATATAAGTGCACCAACGACCCTCAGCTACTATACGATTTAATAAAACAAAAATACAATCAGGTTTGATATTATAGTGGGGATCCCTTCCACTGTCTTCACTTTATTTTTATTATTATGAAAAGTGCTGAAAATAATCAAAGTACATCGGTTGAGTCGGTCCATTTCAAGATGGCTGCCACAGCTCATCAACGTCAGCCAACTTTTAAAATGGCTTTAACTTGTCCAGTTTTCCAATATTAAGTAGTCGCTGCATCGACCGTCACAATCACACCTCGCAACTTGGTGCGGGACGTTATTTTCAAGGTTGGACCAAAACTGACAAAACTTTCTCACCATAAATTATCTTAAGTCTGACATGGAAGGCTGTGGGAAATATACATTATTTAAAGTAACACTAGGCCTGTAATACTTTAAATGTTTTAACTACTCTGTTTATCTTTATAATTTTCTTTTTTCTTTTTTTTACTGTATTTTAACAACAAAAACCCTCCTCTTCAGCATTTTTGGTTTGTCTCAAACGTCTTCGTACTATGTTCCGGTAAAGGACGTTCTTCCTCCCAGCGTGGCTGTTAGCCTCAACGACATGGGTTTGACTTTTAGAGGTTAATCGATACAAGAGCTAAGAGAAAAACTTTAATCTTCCTGGTGACGCAATGACTAAATCTACCACCGACTTCAAGTGAACGACACGCATCACACTTCAACAAACTAGGCCATGAGTTTGGGCCACAGTGTAAGGGAGTAACTGAGGGGCAGGTTTCTGTGTGACTTCTTGTCCTTTCAAACCTGCAACATATTGACTTGAACTGGTAGGAAATAAAAATAAAAAATAAACACCTGTTGAACAGATCTGCATATATCAAGGATTGTAAAAAGGTAACACGTAAGATTTTCTCTGAACACATCTCCGTTAAAGTTGCAATGACACCCATTAACAGTACATTCTGTAGCCCCTATTCCGTCAGTCTTCATCAGTAAATGTTCATTTCTCCAACACGGCGTTCATCCCCAAACCGCCGACACAGGACTTAAGGAAACCAGAGCTTTTCTTGTTAGGGGCTACTGTTTGCGTCAAAGAGAGAGTCAACCTTCAGTATTAAAATGAGCCGTCATTTCACAGTAATGCACCTCAGAGAAGAACCTTACATGTAACATCATTAAGTAAATGATATGATCAATGAGTCCGCATGACCAGTCACGAGCTGTGACCGCCCCCAATATGAGGTCTGATAGCACCATATTTGTCTTTTTAAATCTCTTAATGGTTAATAAGAGTGTCTAAGCCATAGATCAAGCATATTGTGGATAAAACCATAGGTCTCATACTCATACATACATGCAACTAACTACATTGCATGTGCTTACAAAGACATAGATGTAAAAAGAGCATGGTCAATTTGGTTTTGCAGCAAAAACAATTCGGGTTGTGCTGTATTTAATGGACCAGGGAATCCATGTCTGATTGTCCCTCTTCCTGTAGTGTACGGTACTTTTCATTCCACCCCCATTTAAGATTAACACCACAGTGTCTAATCCTTCTAAAGAAAATGATTATGTGAAATATGGGTGTCGGATATGAGCAAACAGGAGACAGGATCTCCGTATGAAAGCTCCAGAGAGAGGGCGACGTGATCTGAAGCCCTTTCCTACAACGTGTAGCGTTCAAGTAGAGCTGGGAAAGAGTAAAAACCATTGGACAGAGGAGCACTCAGAGCATCTTCCCGCTGGTCCATCGTTTTCATGAATCATTTAAGGCAACGCAACTGAAATCTGGGTTATTTCGGGTTACTGTGGATGGAGTGCCAAAAGCCCTTGACGTTTTTGCATAAAAAAAAAGAAACTGTCAGTTAGTAAAGGCTGTTATGACAAAAAAAAAACAACAAGATGTTAGTCAAGTAACAAGAACCTCTCAAAAATTCCAGTTTGCAACCCAAAAAAAAGCCAAAAACAAAAAGAGCAGATCATGTTGATCCTCAACACATTCTTTAAAAGTGAGTTCAGCTAGTCTAGTTAGGTGTGTGGATGTGACTCACCCGGTTAGATTTGGATGGGAAGTGGCTTTTAAAGTCCTTAACTGAGAGCCCAAAGGCTCCACAAGATGTCTGCTCCAACAAATTCAGCTCTTCTTTCTTTTTTTTAAACGACAGCTGACAAGACAGACCACGACTCAAAACATTCCCTGTGCTGCAGGCAGTACAGGTCAACGGTAGCTCACCGAAAGGGTGAGACCGTCGGCGGTGCGGTCCCAACACCTAAAAAACCAGTTACATGCACGACCAAATGACACACACATGGTATTAAGATCACTTTCTTTGTGCATCAAGTGGTGCGTGTTCATTCAAAACGACGTTTTTCAATACATTAGACTGTGGCATGAATAACAATGTTTAGCTATATTCTGAAAAAGCAAGACAATGTTTCCATGACGGACATCTGCATTCTGTCTCAAGACCTAAAATATCTAAGAGAGGTTACCAAATGTAAGCACTTCAAGACAGATAATTTGGGATAAAATGTGGAATATGGCTTTAAATATTTTCAGCACATCCCTGTCAAACATCTCTCTGCCAGTAAACTCAAACTAACTCATGATAAGAGGCTACACTTTTTTTTTTTCCTACAGAATTATTTTAAATTTGAAGGGGGAAAAAACAACAGATCAGGATTTACACGTTCCACTACTAAAACTCTTTAAGGTAGCGGGGCTTCTGAAATCTTATTTTTATCCCATTTTTTATTTTATTTTACATCTTGTGTCTGTCATCCACACACAGTAACACACACACACTACACAAGTGTGAGCTCAATCAATAAACACTACCAGCAAAGGCTGATAAAAGAGCCTCACGATCCTATCTATGCTGTGGAGTACACACGGCTGATTACGTTTCCAACTACAACACGACGAGTTCACAAGGCTAAAACAAACTCAACAGTCAAGTTTTTGAGAGGAATTAAGTAGAGAAGACACAGCCTTTGAAACTGCAGTTGCCTTGCTACATGACATCACACACCAGGATAATATGAATATAATTAAAAAAACACAAAATTATTAGTGAATGAAAAACTGTAGCAAAGCCTAAATCCACTCAGAGACTTCCTTCCATCCACAGAATCAAACACCTGATTAGGTTTGCTAAAAAAAAAACACCATATTTAGGAAATCTAATAATGGTTTAATTTTCAAATAATATGATGGGGGGGTATAGATTTAGGTATGCATATGCTGCAAAAAGCTCAACCACAGGCAAACAAAAGGAAACATGGATTTCTTGCCATAATTCAAATGATGCTTCATTGCCACCCGTTGCCATGTCAACGTCTGGGAGACGGCCAGCACGGCAACGGAAACTATCATCATAAAATGGTACAGTAGTAGAAATAGCTAGACCAGGAAGGGGCAGGCTCTCCAGGGAATAGGTCCGCGGAGAGATCCAGTGACTGGTCATGCGGCTCGCTGTCAGGAATAATGATTGTAAGACGGCACTGGGTGCCCAATGCCATTCTGGTAGTGATGATGCTGGCGGTGGGAGATGTACTCTGCATAAGCCAACGTCATCTTCTCGCTACGGTACCTGGGGTCGAGAAAACATGGGTTGGTGGTAAGAAACTGAATCAAGTAATTTCTCTACGTACAAACTAAGACACCAATAGAAGAAGTCTTTCATTTCATGTTTTGTTTCTTCAAATTACCCACAATACCTTGCAGATGTTGTGTGTATATATATACATACATATATATATATATATATATATATATATATATACATACATACATACACACACACACACACATATATATATATATATATATACACACACACCTAAAGCAGGCTAGGGCAGAAATTCAGAAATCAGCAGCTCTCAAATCTTTCAGGCCCCGCCCCTTTTTGGAGGAATAACTTTTTTTTCTTTTTTTGACTCAACACAAACAAAATGAGCTGTTAGTTGTAATTAAATAATTCAAAGTATATATACTTTTTAATAGTAATTATCAATAAAAATTTGTTTAAAAGCTTTTGTTTATTCAAAAATAGACTCACCGATAAATTTAGAAAGTCCCATAAACTCATTAGACCCATAATAAATTTCAATCTGTGCAGGAAAGCCTCATTTGTTTTAAACAAAAGCTCAAAATGCTCATAGTACTGGTGTCTGTAACAAGATTATTTCCACAGTATTTTTTTTTTTTTTTTTAAAGAATAACAGTTTGATTTGTCTGAAAATCACCATTATGTGCATGTGTTTATAAAGGAAGTCTTCAGTGATGAGGGCTGTTGTGGTTTTAGCATAGCGTTGGTGGCTCAGAGTTGTATTCTTTGCTGGTGCAGTGTTAAGAGCAATCTTTCAGTTTGTATTCGTAAGTGTTTGTCATTACTCCAACTAACATCATTTAGGCGTTAAGTTTCAAACTTCATAATAATTTCAACAGCAACATTTCTCCCATCTCTGAATTTTTCAACATTTACACACCACCACACCAGACGGAGTAGAGTTTGCACACCATTTCATCATTTGGTGAATGCGCAGGATGCGTCACTCCAGCAGTTAAAGCAACATTAGCCCACCTACACCATCATAGCTCTGGTAAGTGGTCCCTGATTTTAGGTGGCACCGCCTTCAACCAGCAAACTCTTACTTCCTGTCTGCTCTTCATCACTTCTATCCACGTTACACTCTGTCTGACTCAGTGATTTCTGAGAGTGGTGACGGCAGGCAGCTTGTTCCAATTTCAGAAACTGCCTCCTAGTTCTAAAAGCTCAACGCTCTTACAATTTTTGGCTTTTAACCGCATCAGTACATGCTACATGTGCTGGAATTTTAAGTGGAAGAGGATCATGTTCCCAATAGGCTGGTCCCAGTACAAATTTTAAGTCTGGCCCCATTTATGTAAATGAAAGCTATGATTGTGTGTGGGAGGACTGGTGAACTTAAAGCCACACGTCCGTGGTGTAGAGTCTGGTTCAAACATGCAACATGTGGACTTCTGAAAAAAATAGGTCCTGTTGTCTTCAACTCCCAACAACAAGGAGACGTTGTGTCAAGTATTTCATGTTTCTGACTGTAAACAGCTTTGCAAAAGGCTAATTTCTTGTTAAAAGTTTTATTTTATTCCATTACAATTTTGGAAGACACTTTGGGCCTCCAAATACCTCCAAAGAGGGCCAGCCATGAAGAAAAGATGTGTGGGTGAAATACCACCAGAAATCAGAGTGTTTAGGTGCACCGTTGATGTAATTTTTATTCAAATAAAATTTTACTAAAAATATTTTCTCTATCTCTGATTTGGAGCGTTAATAATCTTTAAAAATAAAGTTTTGAGTCAGAAAACTTATTGAGTTGACTAAAATTTTGAGGACACAAGTATATATATTTTAAAGTTGTTAGAATCGGCAATTTAATAAATACGTACAGAAGTGAAATGACATCGCTGTCTGCATGCAGAAGGTGTTGCGTTTAGTTTTGTTTTCAGTTTGGACGGGGAACCAGACAACGCAACACTAGAACTGAGACGAGGATTTAGAGACCATCCACAAATTTCAAAATCAGGTTGTCATATACAACAACACCCGAGCTACATTAGACATTTATGAATCAGATACAGTAACTCTCATTTTAGTGTCTTTCCTATGGTTAAATTATAAATATACACATTTATATAATTATGGAGAATTTTAATCCTTGTGGTCTTTTATTGATGGTTCCTAAACAGTTGTTCAGCTTAAGAGTTTGACTTGTTCAGATTAAGATTAGGCTGTAGTGGTTTCCTTCTCTGCCTTTCCAGTCAGTTTCACTTAAAAAACTTAAAAAACAAACTGTTTTATTCGTATCTGTTTGGTGCTCATGCTGACTGGTCCATCCCATTATTACGTAAAGGTAATTAGTGAGGAACAGAAATGAGTCAGAGTTGTAGCATTTTAAATCTGGACATTAGTTCCAAGTTTTAAGTTTTAGTTTGCAGTTTTATGAGCCAAAAACAGGAGTGGCTACCCTTTCATTATCATGGCACCACAGACTGAGAACCCTTGAGATAGAGGAAATAAAACTCACTGATCCCTTTTTTTTTTTTTTATCCACACCCCAGATTTCTTTCCTCCTCATAAAGTTGTAAAATCGCAGCTTCACTTCGAGTAGAACTGCACAAAGGCTTTTTAATGATTCAACACCGACCGCCTACCCCAGAACAAAACAACAAGTTTTTATGATTGTTTCACAACTGCATGAAACCCTCCAGAGCCTGGAGTTTTTTTGATTATATCTGATCACTGAAGGAAATGGATAATTGGATGGTGCAGGTCCACCTACGTGGTGCAGCTTTGCACAAACACAATCATGCATCACCATAAGCGAGTTACTGTCATTTCACCTGGTTAACTTAATGGTCTTCCTGAAGTCATTTGTGATGGGAGCTTTATATCCTCCCTTTCGTAGTAAGGAATCTATGGTTTGAATGTGGTCCCAACCTAAGATTAAAAATGAAAAAAAGAAAATCTTCAGCACAACTCTACATGTGTTCTTTACTTGAATAAATCTGGTTGTATTGTTGAAGGCGGGGGGCACAAAAAGACCTCACCTTGCTCCTTTGCAACCTCTGGCAGGTAGGTGGCGGTGCGTTTTGATCCTTTTTCATTGAAAAACTCTATTCTTATACCATGAACACCCACCTGGAATTAAAGACGAGCACAAAAACAAACAAACAAAAAAAAAGTTAAATTGTAAAAAGTGCCCCCCCTCAAGAAGCCAAAGCTGTAGAGAAGTCCACAGCTAAAGAAAAACAAAAAGCTCTTACATTTTACAGCTGAAGTGTAATGGCTTTCAAAACTGAAACTGGGTTTTTATAGTCACCCACTGCCACAAGGCAAAAGGTGGGTGAAAGCGTTTTCCCCTTTGTTTTATTTGTTTGTCTGTTAGCAAAATATACCTTAAACCAGTGGATGGCCTTTATTTAAACTCTCAGAAAGTACTGACTGGATATACATCTCCAACTGATTAACCTTCAGTATTAACCCGCCAGTGATGGCTGCCACAGCTATCTGACCTTAGCCAGCAGATAAATGGCCATAGCGTCGTTAATTTCACAGATAGTTAGCTAAAATTTGGTGTGGTGGTAGCCGAGAGTCATCCAAAACACATACTATGAGCAACAACACATACATACCAACATTATCCAGATGTAACCAAAACTGCTCCAAGTCCATCATTTCTCATCATAAGACCATCTTTGTTTGAAACTTTGACATGAACGGATGTTGAAGATATGCATTCCTCCAAGGCTTTTAATTTTTACTGTTTCACAAGGATTCAGCACCAAACTCCTCCTAGATAATGTCTAAGTCCACCAAGAGTTGTGGACGCTCACCTCCCACTCAAGGTAATCACCGACGTCTTCAAAGTTGGTGAGAAGAGACACTGAGCAGAAGAGGCGAGGCAGCTCATCCCTTGTCATAGGGGGGAAGCGGCTGTCTTTAAGGGCACTGCAGACAAAACAAGCACAGCGACAAATGCTGTTATGGATAAAAAACTATCCACATCAAGTCTTCAAAGGTTTAATGGTTCGCTCATTAATATGCACAGCTTAAATTGTCTGGGTCCTGCTGATGGGAGAAAAGTTACTAATGCACTGAAAAGCTTTTTAACAGAAGAAACCACCAACCTCCTTGTGTCTGATGTCAAATATTGATTTAATTTTCTACAGAAGTAGAATTATAAACACCACTGAACGCAGGTTTTCATTAAGATTTACCCGTAGTCAAAAGTGTAACTAAGAAGCCTGGTTAGTTCAGATTTAAAATAGCTGTAAAGCACCAAAAATAATTTAGTGTTTATGTGAGATAAGTCTAAGTTACTCCAGGAAAATGTAATGGATAAATACAATCTGCAGTCCTGCAGTGCCATTTGTTTCTGTGACTCGCACAGAACTAGACCAGAGTCTGTGTTCTCTAGGGCTGACAGTCAAATTTACATCCTGAATGTACACTAAAGCTGAAACCACAGAAGCTCCCTCTGACTGTAAACCTCAGGTAGATTTGATTTACTGACACAGCAGATATGGTGGATTTCAAATTACTGGGACTTAGCAGGTCATAATTATCTTTACCTTCCATAGCAGGGCTTAGGTTTCTGGCTAGTGTTAATTTTGGACTCTGCGTGTGCTGCAGCGCGTCAGCAGAAAGACCTACGTGGAAGTGACAGGACCTGCACCCAGGCAGCTCTGTGAGCAACTAATATAATCATCAACGAACTTCAACAACATCTGTGGGGAGAGCTGGGATGGAGGTCGTAAAATGTGACTGCACCCCAGAGACAATCTTGTGGCGTAATTGCTGCACTTTATAGCAAAGATTTAGGGGTGCTTGTTTAAAATGTGTAACCCTAGGCTGACTCTAGAGCTCTGAGGAGGGGCCACACCATCATCTGTCATCTTCCCTTGTGATGAAGATAGTTCTTTATATGACTCTTGACTATATGTTTAGGGTGACATGCAGCAGAAATACGTCTTGTTTAAGCTGCACACTAAATTGTTACCACCTAAATGACAGAACCAGGTTATACAAACAAATGAAGCTTTTTAAACTAAAGACAAGGGCGTGTTCTTGTTTCTGACATATTTCATCATCTTAAATGACTGGGAAACAGCCATTGCAGTTGCCATGGTTACACTATAACAGAAGATAAACACATTTTTGCACTGTGTTGCTCAGCACTGTCAATGTTGCTGCCTACCTGAGGCCTCTTGTTTTGAGTTGGACCACATTTGATCCTAAAGCAATAGTTCAGATCATTAAAAGTGTACTTATGTTAAGAAGTTATGAACAAGTTTAGGTGAATGGTTTAATTCTGACTGGACTGATGAGCTAATAGTTAGTCTGAGTAAGAAAAAAGCAAAGTGGCTCCCTGCCTGTCTCCAAACTTCATGATGGTTCAGGCCAGCAGTTTTATAAAACTTTACATCACTGTCAGTTTTACATGACTAAAACTTTATGGTTATTTGCGAATGTCAATATGAGAAGCAGCAGCTAGCTGTAGCACTTCCAGTGCAACTTGGGATACGGATGGGCAGCAATTTTAAAATTTTCCAAGACGGTAAAATGTACAAATTTGTAGAATTAATGCTATTTTTGTTTCAGTAAGCAGGTGTTGTTTTATCTCTCTTTTACCTGCTCCTGGTCTTAACACGCTGCTAACAGGACCATGAGTTTGGGGTAATGCGCCCCAGTTAAAATGAGTATGTTAAACTCATGTTCACATCATTATTATACACATTTACACACGTGTAGAATTTCTTTATGTTCAGAACTGTGCTATAATAATTCATCTCAGTGCTGCAGCATCAAATTCCCCACCCCAGCTTAGCACCACTTCCTGTAGGAATTTCATCGTATTTCTGACGCAAAACTGACATCAAAGTAAAAGTTTATAAAAACAGGGCTTGATCAAACCACTATGAAATATTCAAGACAGGAGTAATTTTAGAATAACTTTTTACTTTGGTCTATTTTTCCCCAAACTCATGTCTTTCAAAAAGCTATCCTCAACAGGTAAGATATTAAATGTTCATAATCTTTTCACAGAACCCACCTTCAAAAGACCCGACTTATCCTTTGAACAAAACTCAAACAGATACTTTAAACCAAACACGTATACAGAGCCTGCACATCTTTAGGAAGAACTGAATTTAAGAACATTCCACGCATCTGTTATTATAAATGTTAATAAAATCATTCTTGTATAAACTGATTTCAGGACCTAAAAACTCGTTGAACATTTTACCCTTCAGACAAAGACACGGGCTCCATCATGTCACAGAAAAGGCAGAACTGAATTAACTTGGAAACAGTAATATCACCATTCTTTAATTCAGTTTGTTCTGTAAATCTATAGTTTTTAGGTTCAGCAAATTTAGGTATACAATGCAAACATTTCTACTGTTTATGCCGTTTGTTTAATCAATTCATAAGGAGGTGGTTAAAAAATGAAACCGCATTTTAGTTATAAAGCAGACAAATACTTTCTGAATGGTGGCCAAGGAACTATTTTCACTCCTGTGCCTATTATTGACAAAACTGAAAAGGAGCAAAGTTCCATTTTCAGGGGATGATGTTGGGGAATTTTTTTTAATCAAAGTTTATGGATGTTTTTAACTACTATGGCTGAGAACGTTAACTCTGCTCATGAATCATATGTTTGGGTTAGTAGAGAGCTGGATGAGGAGCTGGATGAGGAGCTGGGTGAGGAGCTGGATGA